CGCGCCGTTCTGAAGCCATTCCGGAAAAACGTTCGGAGGCGGGTTAACTTCATCCCCACCCGAGTGTGTGTTTAATAGCGAATCGTTTGGTATCAACAATTTAGATGTACCTTGTAAAGTTACCGACCTACGACAGCTCAAAGTCAGACCATGGGTTCAGCGAAGACAATGTCTAGAAAATCGATCAATCTGATGCAACAACGAAGTGTTGGACGAAGCCCCACATGTCTGAGATAGTTTTTAGGCAACGCAGTAATTGCGTGAGCAAACTCCATTGACCAAGGGTCAGGTATAAAGGTCAGACCAAGTCAAAATTAACCTGTTTTATTGCTTTAGAGCTTGTTATATGGAATAGTTTCTGGTTCCCGTTTCGAATTCATTGATAACAGAAACCGCATTACACATCTTCCATGGAATTCTTAAAGGTCAGAATAGATAATTGACCTAGAATGACCCAGATCAACTTTTTTAGGAGAAGACTGCCTAACGTAATCTTTGACGCCTATTCAAATGCAAAACTCGAAGCAGTGTTGTATGATTTTGTCACCATGACCTTCGAAAGATGAAGCAATGTCTCTGACCTTAAATGAGCATCAGTGTCGCTCTCCTTGAAACAAGTATTTCCGTTCCGAAAGCACTTTGAAATTATCCATGCATACATATGGATATATATATATATGATAGACACTGTGCATTTGGTATCTCTAGCTCTCTTAGTTTCTGAGATCTCGGGCAGGTCAAAATGACCTCTATACCCAAGCAAAGGGTGTACAACCGGCCATCCAGGCGTATGTTAACGGTAAGTGACGTTTGGTAAACATTGCGGGAGGCCTTCATTCTCTCCCTTAGCTCTGCAAGCATCATTTCAAGCATGAAGCGTTGATATCACATGCCCGCTGAGTGCAACGTGTCTTATACTTGTCTGCTGGAGATGCTGGTTGTCACTTTTCTGTATCTACTGACTTTACCCTGACCCTTGGCCCGTACCCCGCCCCGAGCCGGCCTGACACGGCCTATCGCCGAATTTTTGCGCACTGTGTTCGGGAACACAGAGGTACGTCCAGCAAAGAACAGCAAAGGGATGCAGCTAGCGTGGGAGCCCCTTAACAGACAAACAAAGTCGCCTCGAAAGCAATGCACTGCTGAGTGCTAACAATGAGCGTAACACATCACGTTGTTAGGCTGTTCTTCATAGATGACCATTTTCAGGGGTAATTATTCTGCTTTCTTGGAACAGCAATAGCGAGGCGGCACGCAGGCTCACCGGCTGAGCAACAGACGCCAGGCGCTAAGATCCAAGATGCGCCAGGAGTATCTGTGTGACGTAAACGGGACAAGTAACGTCAGTCGTTTGTCGCTGCTAGCAGACGGCAGCTGGCAGAACAAATGGCGGGAAGTGACAACCCTCAGCCAAATTCGGTCCCAGCAAGTCCCACCATACGATGAGAGAATTATAACTGCCCATAACAACTAATTTTGCCGGTGCTCACCGTCAAACAGATAGTCAAGCTGGCAAAGTTGTCGGGGTCGCAGACATAACTGGAGTTGGCATCACCTCGCACCGAAGACAGCCCTAGAGATTAAGCAGTTCGGACTCATACATGGTAATGAAACCGAGCAGTAGGCGCTGCGTTCTCCGTAATTCGAAATTGGCCGTGGCCCTGGGTCTGTGCGAAAAACAATATCCGCTCTAGCGTAATCGAGAATGTCTGATTGGCTGTCTTAGAGGCGATTAATTCGGACCTATTGCCGGTAAAGCACGGAGAGGCCGAGTGGCTGAGTGGCAAACCCTAAAATGGAATGCTTTTTTATTTTGAATGCACACGTTTTCCCACGTACACAACTGGAAGAAAGTAATACTTGCATTATTCATAGGTGGATGTTTAGCAATTTAGCACCATGGACTTTCCCGTTATCGTTGTCATCTGGTACGACTTAGATAGATCTTCTTTACACTTGAACTAATGCCTAAAGCATCGAACAGTATTGAAATAGTCAATATGTGCTCTTAAATGACGCTTAACCAGTATCCTGACAAAATGGAGGTTAATGAGAATTCTGACATAATTATGCCGAAAACCAGGAGATGAAGGTTTTCCTCGCTTTTATGAGGAAAACGTGGCAGGCTTCACATGCAAGCATGATTCCAGTAGTGGAACAGCAAAAGAGAACGGATGTGATTCGTGAGTGTAAGTACGTGGATGAAATCCAACGAATATTGAATTGGTGAGTATAAAGTAGAAACCAACAGTAAATGAAGAAAATGAATTGATTTGTCTCTTAACAATCCTGCAAACAGGTCTATCACGACCTCGGAATATTCATGTTTCACGGGTTCCATGGCGTTGACAGACAGAATGCATTAGCGTATGGTGTTCGCACATAGATTTCAGGCACATGGACTTAAAATTGATACGGGAAGAAAGACCACCCTAAGAATAAATGACAACTAGTGTAACAAGGGATACTGGTTGAATGAAGTTTTCATGCAGTTATGGCATGGAATGGCATTATCAAAATATTCACTACGTGCACCAGTAATGGTCGACAGCTGTACTCATTGCATTCGCAACAGCAGACTGGGCTAAAACTCTTCGAGGTTTTCACATCTCAATCATTTTCAGTTTACATCACGGTGTGTTTACTATCAAAGCCGTAGGTCTAATGAGTATTATTTGAGCTTTGATGCAATTTGCAATTTCCAGTCTAAGCAGCCCGGGCCGTCTTGGCCCGGTCATGGCGACTCCTAAAAGCAGTATCCGCGCAACTACTAGCTGCGGGCTCACGTAGCCTCCAGCAGCACCAAGCGCAGTACTCCACCTGTCGAACAATGGCTTGGAAGCACCTAGATCGGGCGTTTTCTGCAACAAGCAGAGAGCTTACTGCCCAATTTCAATCGTCAGAGCTTTCTACCCACTCCGTGATAAGAAAAGATGAAATATTTTTCAGCCCCGAAAAAAGTTGATAAACAGGGGCCGAAGCTGGGACCAGAACGCGACGACCAAGCACCGCAGCGCCACGAAACTTACACTAACGGAGAAAACGAAATACACACCTGCGCAAATGTGACACGATGTGGGCAGACAAGCACGAGCTATCGTGCGCGAAACATGAAAGCGCCCGTTTTGGAACGTTTTGAGCGACTGATGTCGGGTGTCATGAACCAGAGAATAGAAATGTGTGGAACTAATTGTGCGATGTAGGCGATATCAGCTGAACATTATGACCAGACCTGAAAGCTGTCAGACCGATAGGCTCGCCAGAAATCGAGCTGAGGGCGGCCGATGCCACCTTTTCCGAAACCCATTCGAAAAAGCGATGATATTTCGATGTCGCTGAAATACGTTGCCTGATCAAGCAGGGTGCATTTAAGGGCTTAAAACAGTACAGGATAACCATAAAGATTGTTCTACTCGCACTAAAACCATTACGTCAGTACGATCAGTGGTTGCCGAAATAAAACCAGCTCAAAACATGATCAGCAGGATCGGACCAACACGTTAAGCACGTGTTAAAAATAAGAATGCATAAGGCTTTAAGAAAGAATGATCAATTCATCACAGCACGTACATTTACAATCAAGGGCAGTATTGTGCTCAAAAGAAAGGTAAATGTCACTAGGGGCTGCAAATGTCTGCTCAGACATAAGCACAAGGATTGCATTCGTCTTTTGGGCATCGGACCTTCGAATACCCGATGCTGTTTTTTCCGACTCGCTGGAGTGGCATTTTTTGCTGCTCATTGGCATTGATTTGTGAATAATCAGACTCATGCTTTTTAATCACTATAGTCTTCTTCTCGTGTTGTAAATGCACGCTGCAGTTGCTGCCCACTGATAGTTTTATAGTCTCTTACTTTGATCTCGCCGAGTGATTGGGCTCGGCTCCACCTCGTTTATTAACTCTTTAAGCTGAAAGTATTGGACCATAAAACTTTGATCACTATATAAATGAACAGCTCTTTGCGGTTATTTAGTACACCTGCCTATTCCTAACCAGTGCGTGTCGTCGAACTAGCGACGAGCCTGGATCAACCTGTAGATGTCCCTGAAAGCGACTATAGGTGGCAGCACATAAGATACTTAGGATGTTCAAAGGCATGGGCGTGGGGGCTTCTCTGGCATGATAATTGGTGAGAGGGGCTTATGGTCAGGATATTCAATAAATTTTAGCTTAGGCCAGTCATGTTGGCACGTGAACAGAAGTTGCTTGTGCCCCCGCGCATGCGCAGAGACCGGTGGTCTATGCGGCAGTCACCTTCGTACCTAAACAAACCCCGACATTTGCCCTTCAAGTTTTGGAAGGTAATAAAGCATCAAGGATATGATTTTCTTTGACAGATATATGCTACGTATATGAGTTCGTTAGTACTTCGCAACATTCGCAAGTTTCCACTCCCTGACCATGATGCTGGACAAGCTTCCTCTACCGCGCTCGGGCATCCCATAATGCAGACGAGACAGATGAAAAACCGTCAGGATGCTAAACTCTGTGACTCTGTGACATGTGAGTGAGAGTCTTAATATCTAGCGAATGTGTTTTTGGACCACAAGGGATCGGTGTGGCCGAAACAAAAATGAATTTCACCTAATTTTGCCGCCGACTGTTGACGAACATACCAGCTGCGGGGTTCCAAAATATGGACCCCTGGCGTCTGATAACTGAACTATATTGGTACCGTATAGGCGGCGCAGTTCTCGCCATTCGTGGCTCCTTTCCGAATCAGGCTCGACGGCAGGTTTGGTGAGAGAGCATCCAATTACGAACCGTCATAAGACTCCCATGGAAGAAAGGTACATTTGTAACGCCACAAAGTCCTTTGCAAGTAGCCCGATTTTGAAACAAGGGTGCATACGACCATCCACCCCACGAACGCTCAACATCCAGAGCTAACACATTTACCCAGCCCCCAAAATCGGCGACAGAGATAACGCACCAATCAGTCGTATTCAAACACAATATAACATCCCCCGACACTTCTCCCAACCCGAACCCCTCCCCTCAGAAGTCTAACGCACAGATGAGCGCCAGCCCGCGCTTGATCCAGTGCTCCTGCGGCATCTTCGACGGCAGCTCCACCGACAGCACGTAGTTGGTGCTGTGGCCGGTGGTGCTGAGCGTGCCGGCTCGCTTCAGCGTCTTGTACACGGGACAGAGATAGAAGCCGCCAGACGGCGGCCGCCGGTTCTCCACCGGCAGCAGCCACATGATCGGCATGGGCGTGTAGAGCTCGCGCGGCCTCGACTCGCCGAGCGCCGCGGCGCGCGCGTCCCACGCGGCGCCCTCCAGGAAGAGACCGCGGACGTAACAGCCGTCCGCCGGCGCCTCCTCTGGCTCCTCGGCCAGCACGCTGAAGCCGAACGACACTGTATCGATGCTGACCACGTGACGACGCGCGAAGTTCTGCAGGGTGCCGGTGAGAAACGCCTGCAGGCGGGGTCAGCGCGGGTCACGGCCCATCAGCGCAGACCAGGGGGGGGGGGGGGGGTCAGCGCTGGTCACGGCCCATCGACGCAGGCCTGGGACGGATTGTCGGCGGGAGCGTTGCTACCATCAATGACTAGTTGTAGTACATGCTAGCTGCCAAAACTTCGAGAAAGGCCGCGATTTCCACGGCGTACACAGTTTTTTTTTAGCGTTTTTCAATGTTACACAGCTGTCATCATTGGAGGACACTGTTTTCCCGACCACACCATGCACTCGTTGCTAAAGCAAGCGGCGATTCTGTGCCCAACCGAATCCTAACCAGGAGATCGTGCAGCAACGGCGATGCCTGTCAGCTCGGAAGGTTCTAATTCGTTCCGAAGCGGAAAGCACTGAGTGGACGTTCACCTGAGGGAAGAAGAAGCCGGAGATCCAGTACACAGGTGGCATGCCGTCATCCATCCAACCGCGGATGAACTGCATCCTCAGGATCAGGTCCTCGACCCAGGCGCCCAGCGGCTTCAGCGACGGATACGCCTTGCCGGCCCACATCTCAGGAACCTGAGACAGGTAGCCGAAGGGAAGTGGGGTGCGATCAAGCTAGCGCCAGCAGGCGTGCAGTCATGCAGATTATCACGAGCGAGTTTTCGGGACCACATTCGCGGTGCTATAGACTAGGACCTGAATCAGAAAGGATGGGGCCATGAAAACTGCGCATGCGTGCGACCCCTATCACCGTCACCAACACCCGCCCAGACGTGACGCGTTTTTAGGATGCTTGGATCGAAGACACCGAAAGAGCAAACCATTCCAGACGCGCCTTTTTCTGTACCCGCACATGGCCAGGCCCCGCAAGGCCCCAAATCGGCAAGTTTTAAAGCAGCGTCAGCTGCGCATTGGGGCGAACACTGCCCTAGTGAAGTTCCACCACTGCTGTCCTTCCTAGGAGGGAATTCGCTGTATTGACCGAATCAACTTCTATGGTCCTCCAGAGTTGTGTGGCGTGAATGGCTCAGGCTTTGCGTGGTGATGGCATGTGCGTGGTTATAGCTAGTAAATCTTGTCCTGATATCGTCTCACTTACCTTACGCTGCATGGCATATATTGCTGAGATTTTCCATAAAAGTGGATAGATATTTGGTTACAGTAAGTTTGGGTTGGGGTAAGAATAGATCCTGAGTAAAAATTGGCTCAAATTCCGGGCAACTCTATCATCTTTGGGTTCAGTGGTTGTAGGAGTAGACCGACCTCGAGATGCAGTTTAGGATATCGTAACTGATGTGGAACAACTAGAACAGGTACGGATGATATTCACGCACGTTACATGGCTTGACTTCAAAGGACATACGGGCCCTGAAGTCAGTTTGGGTCACAGCAAAATACACCCCGCATGGTTAAGCCTTACGACACAGAACTAGCCAACACAAACTCGTGGCATTGTCAAAGTTGGGTCACGAAAGAAGTTATTCAAAACGTGCACACCACAAGTTTCCGCTGCATGCCATTGCTCCTCGACATTTCCAAGGTCTGCTTTCGTCTTACCTTGGAGTTAAAGAGGCTGGTAGCCATGCACTCGAGACCCTGGGACATAACCACAAGACCCTTCAGGGCACGCAGCAGCTCGTGGAGAGATGACTTGATGACCTCGAGGAGGCCGTTGTAGCGGATGGCCTCCTGCACAAGCACGGTGTTCATCGACTCGCTGTACATCACAGGATACCTGCCGAGGCAGCAAAGGGAGCAGACGCTCAGGTCGGGTCAGGCTCAGGGGCGGCGGTACCCCAGGACAGGACGCGGCTGATCGGTCAGGCCAGCCGAAGCAGCAAGGTCAGCAGACGCTCGGGTCGGGTCAGGCTCAGGGGCGGCGGTACCCCAGGACAGGACGCGGCTGATCGGTCAGGCCAGCCGAAGCAGCAAGGTCAGCAGACGCTCGGGTCGGGTCAGGCTCAGGGGCGGCGGTACCACAGGACAGGACACGGCTGATCGGTCAGGCCTGCCGAAGCAGCAAGGCCAGCAGACGCTCGGGTCGGGTCAGGCCCAGGGGCGGCGGTACCACAGGACAGGACACGGCTGATCGGTCAGGCCTGCCGAAGCAGCAAGGTAAACAGACGCGCGGGTCGGGTCAGGCTCAGGGGCGGCGGTAACCCCGGGACAGGACACGGCTAACCGGCTGGGCCTGCCGAAGCAGCACAGGCGGCAACGGCTGACCATTGCACCCACCACACGATTGGCTGGCAGCTATACGGGAGCAGATGCCACGCAATCCGTCAGCTGTCTGCTCGGTCGCCATGACAATGGATTTCTTGCATTCCAGCGGAAGGTAGCCAGCATTGTCTTCCTACCACTGAACATCCCTTACAGTTTCACTCGGCGACAACGCCAGCGGTCGCTCCGCCGAAACGCTTACTTCGAGGAACGAAACACGTCTTACGCGACGTCTTACTTGGCCGAGATCTGCGCGATGTCGAATCCGTCGGCGACCTTTTGCAGGATCTGGCGGGCCGTCTGCTCGGACACCTCGTCGGCGGAGGCGCCCTGCTGGCCGCCGGAGCGGGGCTGCAGCTGCAGCAGCGTGTTCAGGCACGAGAACGTCTCATTCTGTGCGAACGTGATGTCAGCGTTGGCGTGCAGCCCGAACAACTCCGGCGAGTCGTTAATGGGCAGACTGCGGACGTAGGCCAGGTACTCTTCGTAGGCCACGTTGGCGTCCACCTGGTGGTAGACGCCGCTCGCGTCGAACTCGTGCTCGTCGGACAGCACCTGTCCGGGATAGGGCAGAGGGTCGATGCTGTGGCCGGTGTGCGCGCGGTGGAGACGGTGAACTGCTCTTCCCCTGCCTAAACCAACCAGCGGGTATAAGGCAAGGCACGCGGACAGATTGTGCCGGGTAGGGAAGAGAAGGGAAGCTGGATCAGTTTTTACCCTTAGTTTTTACAATCAGTTTTTACTCTGCATCTCTTTTCAGCTACCTTCTGCCATGACTTATGTGGAGAGAGAGAGGACAAATGCTATGTATTGGCAGACAGCTTCATATTTAGCGGTAACTTTTTTGAGATTATGTCTTCATTTTTTGGTAAAACACTTCTGAATGACCTCCTTCCAAATGAGACAGTTTGTTTCACCCTGGGGTAAGTTCCACCTCATGATGGGGAAGTTGTGTTTGTGTCCTTTGTCACCACTAAGTTGCACCGTAAGCGAATTGAATGCGTTGGCACTATTTATCAATCAGTGCTTGTAATACGACTACCAAAATCTCGGTTTCGGTTCTTCAAATAGAAATAATGGGTCTTTACAAGTAACGTAAGTGCCAACTTGTTTTCTGGACTACCTTAAGTCAGGGCAATCATATCAATAAATCATTTACAGCACGTCAATCAATGACATGTTGTCGGTGCACTGCATCACTAATACAGCATGCCCCATGCCCAGCTGATTCAGCATGTGCCGCCACTCATCTTAGAAGTTCGCGCCATCCTGAAATGACTGGCGGGCAAACGCCGAATGTTTCGCAACATATACCATACACGTGCTGCCCCACTATTCAGTTTAACATTTAGATTGGCTCAGTCATGCCGTAAGCCCTCAAACGCACAGTTACACCGACCGTTATACTTTTCAACGATCATGGGCGCTTTTGGAGCCTATGGGTCCACTTGGGGCGCAAGGGAGGCATGGCTCCGTGCCCCCTCCCCCTCTGGATCCGTCACTGACCAGAGCAGCTTAATTGATGGGGCCCCGATAAGTGCGTGGGACTCTGCATTCTAATAGGATATACCCAAGACCCAATGTAGAGGGGCCTCAAACGATCGAGCGTGCCCGAGCAGGGTTATCAGATGGCGTCCCAACAAGAGCGTAAGATCCGCCATTGAAATAAGAGGTACGCGAAGCCCAGTATGGAGGGCCCCCTAATGATCAAGCGTACTTAAGCAGGTTATCAGATGACCCCCACCAGCAGCGTAAATACCCACATTCAAACACCAAAACCCTCGTGAACAAACCTGGTGTGCCCGAGCAGGTTAACTTGGCAGGCCCCGAACGACCGAGTTTACCCGAGCAGGGCCTCCGACCTCCGAAAAGGGCGTAGGACTCTAAGCAAGTGACATGAAATTGGAACGGCCCTAGACCAATGTAAAGGGCCCATAGGCATATCGTTAGTGTGTCGGTAGGTCAACGGACACCAATGTGAAGGGCCCCTAAACAACCAGGAATATCCCGGCAGGTTAACATATGGGGCTCCCGGCTATAGTGTATAGAGCCTTTTGGGCGAGTGGAAAGAATCATGTGGACATGTAGGGCTCCTGGAAATAGCGTAGGGTCTCTGGACAGCGTGATAGTTTTAGTTTAAAAATATCCCCATCACCATGCTATCAACCAGTAATAAATGTCTACTCGTGGGCACTTGTTTTTCGGTTACGACGGTTCTTGGTCACCGGGAAGCCCAAAGTTGTCCACTTTTGTTACGCTTTGTGTAAAAAAAACTGCGTTTGTTCGGCCGGCTATGGGCGCTTTGGAGCCCATGGGCCCCAAAGTTTGGCAGCTTAACACGAAGGGTATAATAATTTTTCGATCGCTGGTAAAAAGAGCAAGTGGTTAAACGCTTCCCCAGGTGGCATGGCCATTCGACAAAAACGCCCACGGCGCTGACCAACGTATCCGCGAACCCCAACGCCAATCTCACAGCGCTGCTTCCGAGCCCCAACCCCCTCCAGTTCAAGCGAACTCCCCAAGGACGGTACACCCATCCAACAGACCGCTTCCGCTGGTCGGTCGGTGTCCGAGGCGGGGTCTCTGTGATGAGTCCAGCGCTTACCTCGGGCCGGTAGAAGTCTCCCAGCACGGTGAGGATGCAGCGCCGGTCCTGGTCGTCCGTCACACGGCCGCCGTAGTTGATGTGGCCGGCCGTGTAGCGCAACACCTGCGGCGAACGCGCCGCGCGGGGGCTGACGTGGCGTTAACTGCATGGATGTTAGAGGGTGCAGTGGAAACTGAGCGTGAAAGTAAATCGCCGGACCCAGCGTGATAACAGAAACGCTCCGACGTTAGTAGCCGTGAATCATAAGAATAACGTATATCATATAATCATAACATAATAATCAATAACATATAATCAATAACATAATCAATAACATAATAATCACAATGACAACGTATAAGAATAACGTATATATACATAATAATAAAAACAATCATAAGAATAACGGTAGTCAGCTTGATGTCGTTATGAACGCATGGAACTGTTGTAGCCTGAGCACGAACCTCGCGGTTCCCTAGGCTGTCATGATGACACCATTTGGTGGCGTGCGGAGTCCGAACGTAGGCCTAGCAATCATAAACCTGATGTGCTTTTGACCTTTTTTTGGTAACCCACAACGCACTTTGCTGCTTCGTTTGTTGTGAAAAGCAGTCTACTCGTGACTCGTTTACTCTCTACTCTACTCGTTAATTGTTAAAGCAGCGTATTTCAGGCAATCATCCTCTTTCGGAACACAACCTACCGGGAACGGGATGTCAGTGTACTCCTCCAAGAACATCTGCAGCTGAGAGATGCAGATCCTAAGATCGCCGTCGGTGAAGGCATACGGGATGTTGAAGCCGAGCGGTCCGAACTTCCGGCGCTCCAGACATATGGCGTTGAAGAGCGACAGCGAGAAGAGCAGCCGGCGCAGCGTTTTTGACTTGTCGCCGATCGAGTCCAGCATCTCAGGCGTGACGAGGCTCATATAGGCCTTCAGCATATTCGCCTTAACGCCGCGTGGCGGTTCGATGGTCATCTTCATGCCGTTCTGCAGGACGGAAAGCGGGAAGGAGCTGGACGGCGTGGACGTCAGCAACAGGCGGAAGTCCTTGTGGAGCGTCTCCGGCGTCATGTCCTCCACCAGCCGCTCCATAGTTGGCATCCAGGAGGGCGCCAGGTGGCAGTTCTGGAAGAACACCCAGCGCCCCTTCTCGATGCCCTGTTTCATGAGCCCCTCGGCGCGCGGCCCCTGGCCCTGGCCCAACGATATGGCAAGAATCTTGCGCGAGAAGCCCTTCTCCTCGGCGAACTTGTAGAGTGCGGCAGCCGGGTCGGTGCCCGCGGACAGCACCAGGATCAGTGGCGTCATCGGACTGCTGTCCTTGAAGATCTCGGCCAGGCTCGAAGTCTGCGGCTCCACGAAGCGGTCGCCCAGATTCTTGGCCACGAAGTCTTGCATGCCGTTGGTGACGCGGTCCGGCCGTAGGCAGCGGAGCAACACCAGCCGCTGGAAGTCGTCCAGCTTGTCCCAGTCGCCGGGCAGCCGCTCACGGTGCGGCTCCACGCTCTCGAACACCGTCTTCAGCTTTCGCGCGATCTTGTAGTCGGCGAGGTCGGTCGGTAGCCGCTTGAAGATGGGCAAGTGAAAGCTGGCGGCCAGTATTTCGCGCCAGCACCGCTCCGGTAGCCAGTCTGCGGCCGGGTTGTCGACGACGTCTTCTGAGGGGGTGCCGCCAGCCAGCAAGTAGCGGTACTCCTCGATATTGATGAGTTCCTGCTCGGTCATAATGCGAATGGCCATCAGGAAGGCGAACAGCAGCTTGTGACGCTCGAAGAGTGATCGGCAAATGTTCTGATACAAGCTGTAGGTGAAGAAATTGTTTATATTTTCCACGCGGCTGGGCACGCTGTCCGACTGTTCAGCAGACTCCATGCTGTTGTGGAATGTCATGAGGAACCATTCCAGAGAGTACTGGTACATAGGGTCGATCTGCGACAGGCTCGACACACAGAAGAAGAGGATGCGAGCCCGGACGGAGACAGGGATGTACAGGGAACGCGTCAGGTTTATGTCTTTCTCGGTCTGTTCGGCGACCTCCACCTTGGCTTTAATTTCCGTAGACTTGGCCTTCGACACGTCCAGCGTCTCAATGAGCTCAATATCGTCGACTGGCGAGCCCTCTGAAGAGCTCAGCTTGTATAAGATCTTATCTTCCAGTTCTTTCAGTTCTTGTTTCATCGCTGCATTTGAGATGATAAGGTTGTTTCTTGAGTCCTCGAGGTCCGGCCTTTCCTCGGCGACCACGACTCCCAGGAGCTGATCCTGAAGTCCACTCTCCACCAGAGTGAAGTTGATGATGTTCACCTTTGTGCACACCTCCGGCGAGTAATGCGGGTTTGGTATCTTGGTGGTGATATAGAGCTTGAAGTCCTTGTGATACGGGACCATGGAGTCTCCGAGTTTGATGACCCACGAGCCAGCCTGCTTGACCAGCTGCTTTATTAAGATAGGATCGATCGCGGGGTCCAGTTCCTCGCCCACGTTCTCCAGCATGCACGGTTTTCCAAAACGGATGCTGTTCTCCAGCGTCCTGAGGTAGTCCTTCTCGGAGAGGCGCGTCACGTCCAGGCCGTTTCCCATCTCCATGTTCTTGGCCCACTTGTTCGCCTGGCCCTGCGGGTCGATGAAGAGCGGCCACCGATCGGAGAAGCTCATGATAAGCGCGTTATCCGTGGACACTGTGTCCTTCGGCAGGCCAGCCAACTGCCAGTTCCTGATTACGATCTGGTCGCCTAGCGTCTCTTGCAGACCCGCCGACGGCGAGTAGGTGATTCCGAGCTCCTTTAGCTGCTCCTTCCAGCGGGTGACGAGCGCCTGCCGGTACTCGCCTGTGAAAGGGCCGAGGTAGCCCACTATGCCGGCCGCCAGCAGCACGTCACCGACGACCGAGGCGAGCAGGCCGTCGAACGCCGCCACCGTCTCGGCCCAGCGCTCCTTCTCGTCCGCCAGGCCGCCGATCAGCTTGTCAGCGCGCACCAGCCGCTGCTGGCATTGCTCCGACTTCTCCTCCAGGTCCTGCTTGTGCGCCACGCAGGCGTTGAGCTCCTCCGTCAGCTGCGCCAGTCCGTCCTCCACCGTCTTCAGCTGCGCCTTGGCCTCGTTGAGCACTGCCTCGGTGGCGGCCAGCGACTCCTGCGCGGCCGCCAGCGCCTCGCGCTTCGGCGCCACCGCCTTGTTAACGAAGTGGTACTTGTACATGGCACGGCCCCACATGCAAAGTGACGTGCACGCCTTGCTGACTTTCGACACCGCCTGCGGCATGAAGGCGTCATTTTGGATGTAGGGCGTCAGCTTGGTGATCACGTCGTCTGGGATGTTGTCCTTGTCGTATTCGAAAAGGGAAGAGAGGAAACGGGCAGGGTCCTGCAGCAGCGACTTGCCCGGCTCCCAGTAGTCGTCGAACTTCTGCCCTGGCATGTCACCCGGCACCCGCTTGGGCTTGATGAACTTTAAGATGCAGACGGCCTCCATGACCAGCTTCACGCCCTCTGGAGGACGCTGCATGGCGCGAACCTGTTGATCACGGAAACCCCCACTGTGACTCTCAACCGGGCGAGATGACGCATGTGCGACGAGCCGGGACATGTGCGACGAGCCGGGACAAAGTTGGACTGGAGATGATTCGAGGAGGGTATGTAACAAAACGGGGTTTTGACCGTGAATTAATGAGATGGAGGCTGCCAATGAAGACTGAACCCGATCCAGTGACAAAGTGTTTATGTCGCAGGATTCCCACCAGTCATTAGCAGCGACTCCGGCGGCGACTTATGTCGGCAGGTGAGGGTACCAACACACATGCTGCAGTCACGCTCACCTCGACGACATCGTTTTTGTTGAGCGACTTGAGACTGGCAAGCGCCGCCTCCAGAGCCGGCATCGCCTCGTCGAGTTCCTTCTGCGCGTCAGCAGCGATGGCCGCCGACTCGTCCTTCTGCTTCTGTGCCTCCTGCTCCTTCTTTTTCACCACCGTACGCGTCTCCTCGGCCACCTTGGTGTCCACCTCGATTTTCTTCATGGTTTCCTGGAGATGACATTGGATGGTAAAAAACCTTCGCGTGCACATGTTCGTGCAGTCAACACAAGCAGCAGAAGTACACAGGCAGAGAGCTCTTATCTAGACTAGAAACACAGCAAGCGGAATCCCAGCCCACGCATGGTTGCGGAACATTCCGAACGCCCTCACTGCAGCGCGCCACGCACCTCCGCCACAATGGCGGCGTTCTCCAGCTCGGGCTGCATGGCCTCCAGCTCGACCTGCATGACGGCCACGTCCTTGCCCGTCTGCAGGAGCTTGTCGAGCCCGGATCGCAGCCGGTTCTTGCCCTGCGTCAGGGCCTCCTGCTGGCGGCCCAGCAGCGAGGCGAAGCACTTGAGCAGCGTGAGAAACGACTTGGGCGTGACGTAGTTGTGGCGCGACAGCTCCAGCAGGAAGCGGCGACTGCTCTCCGCCACGTCCGTGTGGATGGCGGAGAACATGACGACGACGCCCTCGCGCAGCGCGTCGTCGTTTGGCATGGCCGTGATATCATCCAGGTGGTGGCGCGCAACCGCGTCCAGCGCCTCCGGCGGCCAGTCGGCAAACCAGTCGATGGTGCAGCAGTTGACGAGCGCGGGGAACTGACGAAGCCGCGCGCGGAACGTCTCGCCGATTGGGCTCATCGTGACGACAACGCGCAGGTTGGAGCGCACGCGCCGGATGAAGGCGGCGTACAGGTTGGCGGTGGTGGGCGGCAGGCCCTGCTCCTGCAGAATGCCGCGCACCGACTGAAAGATCTCCTCCACCTCGTCCGAGGCGAACAGATTTGGCACATCGCCAGAGTTCAGCAGGCTGTTGATGTCCTCCATGAACACCTCCGATTTATCTGCGTGTCCGAGAAGAGAAACACCGTCTGCTCGTCCATCATGCCGGCCTTCTTCAGGATCTGTGGGCGGAGACGACAGCGATGGCGAGTCGTTACCTTTCGCGATAACCCTACACACAATGGATGCATAAATCGCGGTGGCGGGTGACCGGCCATGAAGGATTCCCGACTCCCTTGGACATTTCTTAAGCAACAGGCGCCTAGTCTGGCCTTTAGACCATTATAAGGGCATGTTCCTCCACGTCTAGATATCAAGAAGAGTAAGCCTTCATATGAACACGGCAATACCCATGTCCTATACCACTCAATTACTCGCTGTCTCCTGGCACACAGCCCGACAATAATCCCCATAAAAGCCTGAACACAGAGCACCCACCTCCTTAAGGTCATCCTTCCAGTCGGGCACGCCGTACGTTTTGGTGAGCTCGATGGAGATGCAGCTGCAGTCGGCGATGTGGGCCGAGAAGCGGGTCAGGGACTGTCGGCCGCTACCGCCCATGCCAAGCAGCAGGACGTTCCCCCTCGGCTGGCGCAGCACACGCGCGATCCGGAACAGATGCTTGATGGCGTCCATGAAGAACACGATGTCCAGGGGCGTGGTCGACATCTGACGGAACGTTACGCGCGTAATCATGTCCTGAAGTGGTACTGTAGTAAGAGCCTTCAATTACGGCCAGCCACGAGAGCTGTAACAGAGGGAAGATGACGATGCCACGCACATACAATAATATTTAAGCTGTTTTCAATCGGAGAGCATAATTTGTACGTGCATATCGGACAACACCTGGTTGTAGTCGTCGATGTAGTCTTTCAGGACTTTATGCAGCTGTTTCTCATCTGAAAGCAATCAACAGATACAGGTTAAAGCAAACACGTGCCATATCACAAATGCAGGGTATACAGCAAAAACTCTTCAGCGTCACACATGACAATTTCAGTATGCATCTTTTAGTGTATTGGATAGCGGTAGATTTGGTACTCATGTCTGTTTTCAACCCGCCAGAATGTTTCACAGGGCATGCAATCATTTTACAAGTTAGACAAGTAGAAGAGTTGCTTATGATGACGTTCAGGGCTGCAGAGCAAAAACTGTGATATAATTTAACGCCCCAATTTAACCGTCTTAACTTAAGTTCACGTATATTCAAAAAATGGAACTGACCAGCTTGTCTATGTTTGAGACATCCGACCCACTTGTAACTGACACATGGGAAGGACGCATGAATCCGGGGTGTTCCGTATGCCCAGGACTGACCAGTAACCTCGGAGTAGGGCTTGTTCTCCGTGTTTGGATACATGAGGTCGCCGAAGAGAATGGGGTCACGGTTCAGGACCTCCTCTGGCTTCAGCTTGAAGCGGTTCTTGATCTCGTCCCGCAGAAGCTGGTCCAGCCACTGTCGGTCTTCATCGCTGACCAAGCGATCTTGGAACACCCGACACGTCTCGTGGTACCTGCAGGAAAACGGACAGGAAGCACTGCAATACCGGGCCGGGAACGATCCGCTGCAACGTCACGTGGTGTACCAACCGAAGTGGAAAAACGGCTGGTCACTCACACATCAGGTTGGGACGACGGAGCGTATGGTGACATGGAAAGTCCCCCGAAAAATTGGACATGTGGGATTTCTTAAAACCTTAGTGCCGGCGATGCACCAGTACCCGTCTGGACGCATAAGTACAAGTTCTAACCCGGCAATGCTTAGGCGCGACCAACGCTGACACCTGCTGTCGGCACGATCAACAAGTTCTTTAATTTCTGAGACCGACCAGTCCCCGATGTTACTGATCCAAACACCGCTCGATTGCTGGCCATGCCGATTTGGGACCTGCTGCCGGTACCGTGGTACTGACAAGCGACGATGTATGAGCCGGTGATATGAACTGAGTTGCGTTTTAAGGCGTGGTCGTGTCAGTTTGAAAATATTAGGGCTGGATTACTTAAATCCTTCATCTCTAGGCAGCATGTCTTGGAATAACTGTACGGTCTGTGTTTCGATACAAGTCTAAATGCATTCTGGACGTTGGTTTGATGTTGTTTAATATTTGACCGTTTTGCGATGAATCCAACTGCCATGGCCATTTGCTTCGCAGTCTCTGACGCAGACCGTATCGGGCAACGCCGAAACACAGCTGCCAATTAGCCATACCCGCACACTCACTGTTGGGAGCCAAGTCAAGTCATTCCAACGCTGAATAACATTTCTGGATTGACATGGCCTTTAACAGTCGTGCGATGCGATGGCATGAGTGGCGCCGCAGTGCAAGGCCATTGCGGCGTAGTATCGAGGGCTTAATGAAACACCTGGCGATCGAAGAGCCGCTTCTCCCACGACAGACCCTCACCAGAGGCGCAGCAGCGTGTGCTGGTCCTCAATCTTAGCTGCGGCCGCCATCCAGATGCCCTGGAACACCTTGCTGAGGTCGCGCAGGTTGAAGGTGTAGTGGGACTTGGCGGGCGTGGGCAGCAGCTGGGCCGTCAGCTGCGTGTACATGTCCACGCACGATGAGACGATGTCGTCACAGCTGGAGGCCAGCTCGGGTAGCTGGGACAGCCACACGGACAGGATGGTGCCGTAGATGTGCCGCTTGCTCTCGTCCTCCACCTGAAGTCAAAGAAACGGTCAACTAAAGCTGTGCGTCGGCCTTGTGGACTATCCGATGTGAGCTATCAGCCTGGTTTACGTTGGATTGCAAGCATTTAGCGTGCCGTCAGTCAGTCTTGTTTGCTCACCACCGTTATTAAATCTGTTAAAGCCCCTGCCTCTGAACCTATCCGCAGTGGGTAGAGGGAGTTCGGATCGCTTCGGCGACACAAACTCGCCACATTCTCCCGGGTAAACTCACCCTATTCACCATATTCTCTCACCCTTTGCTACATCTGACTCATCTCGCTATCTACTCCTGAATGGGATGGCCTGCGGCAGGTGGAAGCGGCCACTCAAGGCGAGATGTGGTCAGGGAGCAGAGTGGACAGTGCCGGGCATCGTGCACGTTAAACTTTGGTCACGAAATTCTGCCATTGAACAGAAATTTCCCCATTGAATTGGGGGGACGGGGGAGGCATCCACTCAGCGGGCGCTGCTTTGCGCGAGCTCTGATCCCGGAAATCTATCTAATGACAATGTTCCGGCCGCATTAAAGCCATCCCAGTCTGACATAGCTTCTTGTGAAGCGGACATTTTGAAATAGTAAAAGCTTTATAACATGAAAATTTGCGATGCTATCAAAGTAAGCGCCAATGTGGTGCTTATTTTCCGCATCCACTACCGCCTGGTCAATCTTCATAATTGAATAATCTTACCTTAACTTGAAGAACATTGAAAAGCGGAAGGAATTTTCGTCCTCCCCAATCCGCGGGATATGCTCGTCCCTGCGCCAACCCGCCCGGAAGGCTGCATCAAACAACCATCATCAAGAGCATTGCATGCCTTCACAGCTAATGACCAAACGTTTGCAGACCGCATGCTGTATGTGCAGCTGTTTAGAGCTCCGCCGCCAGTCCGAGGGCTGCGGCGAGCAGCTGACCTCGGGGAAGGAGATGGTACAAAAGTGACGCAGCAGTCGGGCGGAGACGGGGTTCCGACCGCCGCCCGGCGGCCCCATGGCTGCGATGAACGTCACGTCCACGAGCGTGCGGAAGTCGCCGATCTGCTTCCGGTCATACCTAGGCAATGTGACAGAGTTCAACGGGCAGGATCACCTGCTGATGCTAGGGATGGTGTGGGATGGCAGCAGAAAGCGATTGAAGCTTGAGACGAACTGAATACGCTCGGGTCTAGATGACCAGTGCGTAGCGTCGGAATTGAACGTATCGCTTCGGTGTCCACACAATGTGTGCTGCCGTTCTTCAAACAACACATCAGCCAAAGCTAAGATCCCACCAAAAGTAAAGTCGTTTGAAATTGGGCATCTTAAGGTGTCAACCGTGCAATGGCATTCCGCTACGTAGGACTTATTTGACAATGTATGTGATACGATAGTGCAATGTAATGTTAGATTTTTGATGCCGACGCCGAGAAAATGTCCAGCGATAGCAGGTTGTGTAGCATTACCACCATGCTCACGTCACTCAAGTAGTTTTTAAAAATATTTCCGCTTGGTGAACCTCACTGAACAAGCTCGCAGCAGTGTCACCCACCATCCTCCGAAGTCGGCCCACTGCCTGATGAGCTCCAGCGGCGGCTGCGCTCCGTACGTCTCCAGCGCCGGCATGTTCAGGTCGTCGATGAAGAAGACCAGCTGCTTGCCCGCCGGCGGGCCGAACTGGCCTTTCCTCCGCCGGTCCAGCTTCGAGTCGATCAGGTCTTGGGTCTGGTTTGCGGAGGTGCGGGCCGAGAAGGTGATGAACTCGCTGAGGAAGGCCGACGGCATGCCCGTCATCAGCTTCTCACTGATGGTGGCGGTCTTGGAGGTGCCAGTGTTGCCCACGCACAGCACCGGCATGGCGTTGGTCAGGTACATGCCGATGAGGCTAGCGTTGCGCACGATATCCATGGTGGGGATGAGGATGTCGGTGAACTGGGTGGCCGTGGTTAGGTTCAGCTGGATGCCGCCGGCCAGCCAGTGCTCCCAGCTCGGCGGCTCGACGGCAGACTCCTCCAGGTCCAAGTTGAAGATGCCGCCGTCAGCCAGCCGGTAGTCGTACACCAGACCATCGTCGGGGAAGAGCAGCTCGTGCCCGTCGGCGGCCATCTTGTCGCGCACCCAGCGGTCCATAGTCCGTCTACCGGCGTTGTCGCACGAGCCGCCCACGCTCCACACGACGACGAACATGAACCAGGGCGTAATCATGGCCGGCAGCAGCTGCAGCCGCTCCACTGAGAAGTGACGCTTGGTCAGCACGACGAAGCAGGCGGACAGCAGGCGCAGCAGCGTGGCGCACAGGTTCGAGTCGACGGTCGTCACGATCTCCTTGGTGTTGGCGCGCATGTGCGCGATTCCCGGCTCGAGCCAGGCGTCGCAGAGGGCGCGCAGCGTGTCCGCGTGCGGCTTCATCTGCTCAGGGAGGTCGGCGAGCCAGGACTCGACCAGCGCCGGCAGGCCGAGCCCGCTCGGCTCCAGGTACACCATGCCGCAGCGGCTGACGGTGGCTGGCGACGCCTGCGCCAGGTCGCCCACCTCGAACATCATTGTCTGCGTGGCGTCCAGCTTGATGATCTCGCCGCTGCTCAGGCACAGCTTCTTGTTGTCGTCCAGCACCGTGTTCATGTTCTCGATCCAGACGGCGTCGACCGGGCCGTCGAACATGTACCACTTCTTGTCGGCGCTCTCGGCGGCACAGCCCATCCGGATAAGCGACGACAGAATGCCGTCCGTCCACTCGTGGGTCATGTCGTCAAACTCGCCGTACAGCTGGCCCATGGTGATGGACTTCGGGTTCAGCACGTCCACGAGCACGGGTGTGAACGGCTGACCGTCGGGTCCTATCTTGCCCTTGATGCGCGTGATGGCTCCCTGCAGCACCTGGTAGCAGCGCGTCTTACCTGACCCAGTCGGTCCCACCAGCATCAGGCCGTGCCGTACTATCGTCGTCTCGTACAGCTGGATGCACTTGCGCAGGAATGTGGGCACGGGCTGGAGGTTCTTGCGCTGGCACTCTCGAACCAGCGACGCCTCCAACTCGTCATACGTGATCTCCTCCTCCTGTACACGCGGGAACAGGTCGCTGATGATCCCCGTGAAGAGCTTCAGGTCCTCTTGCAGGAACTTGGGCACGTTGACGTCCTTCAGCGCCCGCAGCACGATCAGCTCCTCACCCATGGTCGGGTTCTGTCGCTTCAGGTTGCCGGCCGCCGCGATCACGGTCTTGACGGCGCGCATGCCGAAGTCGTAGTGGTCCTGCGTGCTCAGCTGCTCAGAGCTCAGCTTGAACGTGCTGGTGATCTTATTGGCGAGCGCCCGCGCGTTACCGAAGCCGAACGAGAAGAGCGAGATCTCGGCGATGAGGGTGTAGTTGGGCACCATCATCGCCACGGGCCGGAAGAGGGCGCTGAGGTTGTCGGGCAGCTCCGTGCGGCCGGCGTACCCCGGGTTCATGGTAATGAACACCGAACAGGTCGGCTTCAGCTGCAGCTCGACGCCTTCAAACATAAAGCGGTCCAGCTTGCCCACCAGCGCCTTCTGGATGCAGCTGATCTGCTGGGCCACCACCGACAGCACCTCGATGTCGATCCGGTTGAACTCGTCGAAGCAGGCCCACGCGCCCGCCGCCGCCAGCCCCTTGAAAAACTTGCCCATGGCCATGAAGTCTAGCTGGTCGGAGCAGTTAAACACCACGCACTGCACGGCCATCGCCTTGCCCAGGTCCTTCGTGGTTTCGGTCTTGCCAGTGCCGGCTGGGCCGGCCGGCGCGCCGCCGAACTGCAGGTGCAGGGCGCCGGTCAGGGTCAGATAGCAGCGATCGGTAAGCGGCGTGATCACCAGTCGACCCGTGTTGCCCAGGTACTCGAACCCGTAGCCGAACTCGGCGTTCACGTGCTTCAGACGTAGATCCTCATCGATCCAGTAGTACCTACGGATGAGGCGAAGTTGTCAGAGTTTGTAGTGAACTGGCTAATGAGTGATTTTAACATCGTGCAACCATGCCTAGTTTACACATGAAACAAGCGGCTGCGTGATGCAATGAGCGACACACACTCGCCTTCCCATTCTAATAACACAGGCTATAAATTCACGTAGCTTTTCAATAGCCAACTGAAAAATGGAAGCTTGAGCACGAAGACAAAAAAAAAGAAATATGCCATTCAACGCATCGCTCTGTCACGCTCTCAAAGCTGAACACCGCTGCTGAATAGCCTCAGTCAACAACAAAACTCGTGCGCACCACCGAAGACCGAACCATGTCCTGTCTACGCCAGCGCCGGCAGCACCGTCGATGCGCCGACCTGAGCTGTCCAATCCAGGAGAAGCTGTTCACGTCGGTGACGCCGTCTGCCACCATCTCCTGCACCACGTCGCGCGCGTGCACCTCGATCACGATGAGTGCCGACAGGATGTTGCGCTGCAAGCCGGTCAGGTCTGTCTTGATCAGGTTTCGCAGGTCGTCCAGCTGCTCCAGCTGCAGCTCATAACTGAAGGCAGAACATTACGCAAATCGTGTGTGAGGCGGCAGTTCGGGAAAGACGCTACGAGACTGGCGTTAGTGTCCTGTGGCTCTGACAGCTTTGTTTTGGGCGTGGCCATTACGTTCGTTGGCTGGATCGCTCTTGAACGCTGGAGCCAACTGAGGAATAGTCGCAAGATTTAGATAAGAGTCCGTGGGAAATCATCACCATCACCATCCTCACCATCACCATCACCAACCATGGGATTTATTTTGCGTGTGAGGACGGAACTACAAAAAACATTATTCCATACCTCGCCGGGCGAAAGGCCCTCGAAGTTCTGAAAACACCAAATGCACTATACTGTAATTTCAGTTCCCCTGAGCTGTAATCACTTCTACCTATTTTGCTAGCATCATGACAACAAGGTGCTATCCAAGGTCGTACGCTTCCTTACCATACTGGCTGTTGGTATCAGGGGATAAAAGCACGCAAAGTTTGCCCTCACGCGTTCTGATTTCGCACCTTACAAGTCCCGTCCACTAACGGTCTGATATTGGCATTGCGTCCAGTATGCCGCGGGTCACAGAAGGCCCCTTTCCTTCACTTTCGTTGTACGCATGCTTCATAAGATAGAACAGAGGCCTATATTCATTAATTCGTCTGGTCGACCTAGTTTAACCTATTAAAGATCGATTGCATTAATGTTCGATGCACCTTATGAGACTCAATTGTATGCAATTGTCAGATGTCGGATTATTTTTAGCTCTAGCATGCTTGATTGTTTTAGTAAATAGAGTAGGGGTTTCTAGAGCCCCTCGTCTGGTGAAGGTAGAAACACGTTGGTCCAGTAGGAGTCAAAATACGCACAAACACCAACATTGAACCGATCAGCTAACTTCAGCCCAGCTGCTAGCGACCGAACATAGCCTGTAGAGCAGATGGGCTGATGTTCCCCACCTCCCACCTCTCTCTCTCTCTCTCTCTCTCTCTCTCTCTCTCTCTCTCTCTCTCTCTCTCTCTCTCTCTCTCTCTCTCTCTCTCTCTCTCTCTCTCTCTCTCTCTCTCTCTCTCTCTCTCTCTCTCTCTCTCTCTCTCTCTCTCTCTCCTCTCTCTCTCTCTCTCTCTCTCTCTCTCTCTCTCTCTCTCTCTCTCTCTCTCTCTCTCTCTCTCTCTCTCTCTCTCTCCTCTCTCTCTCTCTCTCTCTCTCTCTCTCTCTCTCTCTCTCTCTCTCTCTCTCTCCTCTCTCTCTCTCTCTCTCTCTCTCTCTCTCTCTCTCTCTCTCTCTCTCTCTCTCTCTTTCTCTTTCTCTCTCTCTGCTGCTCAGCGCCCCACGGTGGCTGGCGCAGGGCCACGGGCGACCGGTGCCCGGCGGACCGGCCTCTCACCCATCCTTCAGCGCGCCACCAGCGATGGCTTGGTCCGTGTTGGCCGACCAGACGCTCTGGCAGCCGGCGATCACCAGCTGGCCGGGCCACTGGAGCACCCACTCGGGTCGGCCGGCCTCCGTGTACGCCTGCAGCGCCTGCGACAGCTGCTCCCGCAGCGAGGCGCGCATGGTCGCCTCCACCTGAGGGTGAGGAGAGCCGGAGCTGTCGGCCGAACGAAGCAGTACGGAGACGCTGCTCAGCGGGCGCCGAAGCTGCTGCTCAGCGAGTGTCTGAGCTGCTGCTCAGCGGGCGTCGGAGCTGATGCCCAGCCGGCGACGGAAGTGCTGTTCAGCGAATGTCTGAGCTGCTGCTCAGCGAGCGTCTGAGCTGCTGCTCAGCGGGCGTCTGAGCTGCCGCTCAGCGGGCGTCTGAGCTGCTGCTCAGCGAGCGTCTGAGCTGCTGCTCAGCGAGCGTCTGAGCTGCTGTTCAGCGGGCGTCTGAACTGCCGCTCAGCGGGCGTCGGAGCTGTTGCTCAGCGGGCGTCTGAGCTACTGCTCAGCGAGCGTCTGAGCTGCTGCTCAGATACGGCACTCCAGCTAGTTGTCAAGAGTAGCCTCCTTTCTGCCCCTGCGCCGTCCCTGTCTGATTTTACTCAGGTGTTCTTGATCGATCGTAATTGACGAACATCTGAATTCTTTTGCATGTCCCGCGGGGTCACATTACTGGATAGCTCCCACGTCGGTCCCCGTACATTGTTCACTTTTCCACCCTGTGCTGGCGGAAAGGCAGGCGACTGACTATCGAACGATGACAACGGGGGGGGGGGGGACAGAGTTCTTATCATAGGCCAAGCACATTCAGCCTACCGGATACTACATGTGTTTTGTTATGTCGTGAACGGTGACGTCCGGGGTCCGTAGCGCCGGCTGTTCCGGTGCAAGACTACGTGATCGTGCGCTGGGACGGCGGCTGTACCGCAATGCCGTCGCCGTGGGACGGGGGGGGGGGGCATTTTACCTGCACGGCTGCCGTTGTTAGCGAACAGAGTTACCAGCGCGCGTCCAGCATGTGCGGTGTAGCCAGTCAGCAGCAGATACAACAGCACGACAGCGGAAGAAGTCGGTGCACAGCAGAGGTACTCATCTCCCCTGTTCATATCATGGTTCGGTCCGATCACAATGACATTCTAGGCAGCATCTTCCTCTGGTCACATTTTTCTCGATACCAGGACTAGCGACGGGCTATCATTACACTGCTGATAAAAACGCGGCCGGATGTCTGGCACACAATCTTCCCGCGACATCATCCGTTAACCTGTGCCCAGTATCACATCGCATTGTGCGCAGTCACTCCGAAGCATAGGGCGGTAGCGACACGACTAGCGGCCTAGACGGGACTGGCGGCGAGACGTCACCCATGATTAACTCACGTGCAGCAGCCAGTCCTCGACGTTACCGTACTGGGGACATAGACGGGACTGGCGGCGAGACGTCACCCATGATTAACTCACGTGCAGCAGCCAGTCCTCGACGTTACCGTACTGGGGGCCTGACGGGATGCGGCGCGAGACGTCACCCATGATTAACTCACGTGCAGCGGCCAGTCCTCGACGTTACCGTACGGGGACATAGACGGGACTGGCGGCGAGAGTCACCCATGATTAACTCACGTGCAGCAGCCAGTCCTCGACGTTACCGTTACTGGGGACATAGACGGGATGGCGGCGAGACGTCACCCATGATTAACTCACGTGCAGCAGCCAGTCCTCGACTTTACCGTACTGGGGGCCTGGACGGGACTGGCGGCGAGACGGCGTCACCTGATTAACTCACGTGCAGAAGCCAGCTCCTCGACGTTACCGTACTGGGGACATAGACGGGACTGGCGGCGAGACGTCACCCATGATTAACTCACGTGCAGCAGCCAGTCCTCGACGTTACCGTACTGGGGACATAGACGGGGACTGGCGGCGAGACGTCACCCATGATTAACTCACGTGCAGCAGCCAGTCCTCGACGTTACCGTACTGGGGACATAGACGGGACTGGCGGCGAGACGTCACCCATGATTAACTCACGTGCAGCAGCCAGTCCTCGACGTTACCGTACTGGGGACATAGACGGGACTGGCGGCGAGACGTCACCCATGATTAACTCACGTGCAGCAGCCAGTCCTCGACGTTACCGTACTGGGGGCCTGGACGGGACTGGCGGCGAGACGTCACCCATGATTAACTCACGTGCAGCAGCCAGTCCTCGACGTTACCGTACTGGGGACATAGACGGGACTGGCGGCGAGACGTCACCCATGATTAACTCACGTGCAGCAGCCAGTCCTCGACGTTACCGTACTGGGGACATAGACGGGATTGGCGGCGAGACGTCACCCATGATTAACTCACGTGCAGCAGCCAGTCCTCGACGTTACCGTACTGGGGGCCTGGACGGGACTGGCGGCGAGACGTCACCCATGATTAACTCACGTGTAGCGGCCAGTTCTCGACGTTACCGTACTGGGGACAAAGACGGGACTGGCAGCGAGACGTCACCCATGATTAACTCACGTGTACCAGCCAGTTCTCGACGTTACCGTACTGGGGGACATAGACGGGGACTGGCGGCGAGACGTCACCCATGATTAACTCACGTGTACCAGCCAGTTCTCGACGTTACCGTACTGGGGACATAGACGGGAACTGGCAGCGAGACGTTACCCATGATTAACTCACGTGTACCAGCCAGTTCTCGACGTTACCGTACTGGGGACATAGACGGGACTGGCGGCGAGACGTCACCCATGATTAACTCACGTGTACCAGCCAGTTCTCGACGTTACCGTACTGGGGACATAGACGGGACTGGCAGCGAGACGTTACCCATGATTAACTCACGTGTACCAGCCAGTTCTCGACGTTACCGTACTGGGGACATAGACGGGACTGGCGGCGAGACGTCACCCATGATTAACTCACGTGCAGCGGCCAGTCCTCGACGTTACCGTACTGGGGACAAAGACGGGACTGGCGGCGAGACGTCGCCCATGATTAACTCACGTGCAGCGGCCAGTACACGACGTTACCGTACTGGGGCCTAGACGGGACTGGCGACGAGACGTCACCCATGATTAACTCACGTGAAGCAGCCAGTCCTCGACGCTACCGTTCTGGGGACATAGACGGGACTGGCGACGAGACGTCACCCATGATTAACTCACGTGCAGCAGCCAGTCCTCGACGTTACCGTACTGGGGGCCTGGACGGGACTGGCGGCGAGACGTCACCCATGATTAACTCACGTGCAGCGGCCAGTCCTCGACGTTACCGTACTGGGGGCCTGGACGGGACTGGCGGCGAGACGTCACCCATGATTAACTCACGTGAAGCAGCCAGTCCTCGACGTTACCGTTGGGGTACATCGGCTCGTGGAAGGGCACCGTCTCGCCGTCGGCGGAGCACATGGCTGTGATCTGAAGATCCTCCTGTTAAGGGTACGCAGAGCCGCGTCAGGCTCAAAACGTTTGATGGTTTTGCAGATGAAATGAGGAAGCTCCCAGCGGAGCCAAGGGTAACTGGGAAACACAGGTGTGTTTTGACGCAGCCAAATCGTGATTTCGTTGGGCATGTAGTCGGAAAACGTTTGGCTGCTGGCATAAAAACCATCAATAATTTGCATAAAGACACATGCAAATGGAACTGGAGCCCAAAAAGATCCTGGAGCCCAAAAAGATCCCAGGATTCAATTAGCATGGTGCCTAATGGGAACTTGCATCTACGTTTGGGACCCAGACACATATCTGTCTGCATATATAGACAAAACCCCGACTTTCTACCTCAAAGGTAAGACGGGAAATGCTCTCGAAGCACTTCTTCAAGTGGGGTTGAACCGCTCTCGGGTTCTTGGTCTGCGACAGGATTTCTAAGAGTTCTTCGTCACTGAGGAAGAAGAACCGTGGGAATGCCATCCTCTTCGTCTCCAGGTACTCGCTCAAACCTTTCTGGACCTGAGGGACAATAGCAAACATATTGCGACAACAAATTGACATACCTTCAATAAATCGGTTCATTGGGTCTCTGGCTACTACTTTTGCTCAGATAGAGGCAAGTTATCCAGTTACAAGAGTTCCCTTTTGTGGTAATACTTGACATACAAAACATGATACAAAGCTTTTGGCATGCTCAAACTGGACGCGCAGTGTGCGCACTGAATGAGCTACACCTGTCGACGGTGCCAGCAGGATACTGGAACTGATCTGCGGGTATATGCTGATATCACTGCGGGTATATGCTGTGCTCACCTGATCTAGCAGGTTGTTGCAATCCCTCAGGTTGTCCAGCAATCGCTGGTCAGGACACAGCTCCATCACCTGCTGGTTATCCATGGCCTTCTTCATGATCTTCTTCCACGTTTTCTCCATGGTCTTATAACGCTTGGACTCGACGGGCAACTGCCTGCTGATGTCATCGCTGCTAAAGATAGGCTCCAGGTACAGCCAGGATCGTTGGCAGGCCACCCACTCGTCGAAGACGTCCTGCACCAGCATCAGCTTCTTCTCCCACTGCGTGATCCGCTCCTCGAAGGGAGCCTTGTACGGCGAGAACACCATTGACTGTGTCATCACTATATGGTCGTCGAGCAGCTGGTACGCCTCGTCGCTGAACTTGAGGATCGAGTGCCCGGTGTCCTTGTACGGCACTATTTCTAGCGCCAGCGCCTTCCACTCGGCCTCCATCTTGTCCAGAGCCTGCTCAATGCTATACTCTTTGCCGGCGATCTCGCCCACCTCTGCAATCTGGTCTGTGTAGTTTTGCAGGCCCATCTCCAAGCATTTGGAGAAGGTGAGGTTGGCCTTCGGCACGATCTTGATGCCGATCAGATCTGAGAGCTTCTCCCAGTGGCGATGCCGCATTCCCGGGTTCCGCAGACCCATGATCAGCGGGATGTGCGGCTTGAACGCCTCAATCTGGTCCTGGATCTCCTCCGCCACCTTCATGATGGCCGGCATTTCCTCGAAGTTCCGGATAGCCTTATGCATAGTCTTGTAGGCTTCGGTGACGTTGCGTTCGATACCTTCAGCATCGACGCCCTGTAGCGGATCGTTCAGCCAGCCGTCCTGCCAGTGAATCCAGTCGCTACCTGTCAGCCACAGCGCCCGGTAAGGCTCACAGTCCTTGATCAGCTTGGCAATGTTGTCGTATGGCGTGACGTCCATTCCAAATAACCGCTGGCGCTGGTTTAGCAACTGACCCTGCTCCTGGCACTCCTTCAGCTGCTTCCAGACGCGACGCACCTCATTGGCCACCTCATGTGCTTTGCTGATGTCGTTGAATGCGGTCATGCCGGCCACTAGCATCGTCAGATTGTCGACCTTGTCATTGAGGGTCGCCTGGTCGTCCAACTGGCGCTCCTTGAACTTGTCCTCCTCTTCCAGCAGGCGATCTGTGGTTTCCTCCAGCAGTTGGTCAATCTTATACGGCCAGAAGAGCATGTCCCACTTTGCGCTGAAGTCGCCGTTGGAGAGCGGGTGATTGAACTCGTCCAGCACATCATAGTCTTTTATGAACTTGGCTGTGTTGTCCTTCTCGGTGCGTACAAGCTCCGGTACCGTGTCCATGTACTCTCTCAGCTCTGTGACGTCTTCCATTTTCGAGCACTTGGTCGTCATCTTCGCCGACATTTTCATAAAGCTTCTGTTCACTTCCTCGGCCTGTTCCAGCAGGATTCCTGCCAAATGGTCGAGGGTCGAGTCAATCAGTAACTTCTTCTTTGTCAGCAAGGCCGACCGAAGGATGTCCGTGTTCACGAAGAAGGGACCGATGGTGATGTTGGCTGGTATGGCACGTTCTGCGACGTCGTAGTCGGCTATGAGCGCGGCAGCGTCGTCATGGAAGTTCTGCGCGGTGGCCTCCTCGTCGTACCTTTCTTTCAGATACTCGTCAATGTTTAGGCTGTGTATCCACACGTATTGGGTATACTCTTTGGCGTACGCGCGCATTGGAATGGCGATGGTCGTCATCGCCACCTCCAGACGATCATGAAGTACTGTGATCTCGGGGTTCATGAGACCGATGGAGCTAAGCGGAGTGCGGTCGGGCCAGAAGATGTTGTCCAGCACCATGGGCTCTAACGGCGGCACTTCGTGCGTCACGGTGACTCCATGCTCGAATACTGACAACATCATGGCCTTGAACCGTTCGATGTCCGTGGAGAAGACCGGCCCCTTGTCGTTGTCTATGTGCAGCTCTACATAGAAGAAAGGCGATGCGGTCCCCAATAGGACGTTCTGCGTCAGGTCTTCTCCCCACTCGAAATCTTCCCCGCACGTCAGGAACTCGTCACACGTGTTCTCCACTGCTTGTACGAGATCCTTGCAGGAGTCCCTGGCTAAAAACCGCAAGGAATCCTGCATCATAACGCGGATCAAGGCAAGGATCTTGCACAACTTGGACATGCAGAAAATCTCCCATTTGGCCACGTAGAGATCGAACCAACCCTTGCCAACGCCTTGCAGGTTCATGTGCAGATGTTCCCGGAACTTGGCCAGCCAAACAGTCTTCAGATGCGTCAGCAGCTGCTCGTGGGAGCTGAACTGAGTCGACTCATAGTCATCTATTTTTAAAGGCTTCGTTACCTTGAGCACAAACATCTGCATCTCTCGCACCTGCAAACACTCCCAGTTGACGCCCTGCATAGCGAAGATGGCCTCCTTCTGCGTGAGAATGCTGAGGACCTTCACGACCCTGAGCGTCTCCACGAAGTCGATGTCGTACACCCCTGTCCTGCAGAACGCCTTCTGACCTTGCAGCGGGTTTTGTTGCGGCGGCGGCGTCAGCTGTGCGATGTTGCGCAGCTTCTCGTCTCGGTGCAGCGCCGTGTCCAGGATTATCTGGTTCTGGTAGCGCATGTAGTCCAGCTGCAGTTCGTCCTGCAGGTGCAGGATGCGCTCGTCGCAGTCGCTGACCTTTAGAGGGCGACCGGGCGTGGAGCGAAGGAAGCCCAAGATTCTCGTGACCTGAAATAGCCATAGTGTTTTAAAGCATTGAAATACGCCCTACATTAACCTCAGACCTGGGTCGACTTGACGCTTAACTACGCTACGTTCAGCATTGGACCAAACACTGTTGCGCTCAATGGCCATTACTACAGGCTGGAACTCCTGCAAAAGAGCACAGTCTGCAAGGTCATGTCAGGAGTAGTAAAGAGATCTTGGCTGTCGGGCTATGAAAACTAATTTGGCTTCGCAAACTGGCTTGATGATGTATGGCCTCCTCCTATTACTCTTCAGCTGGCGCTCAGGGCTGACGACACCCATTCGTGTTTTCTGTTATCTTCTAAACCATTCAGGGTATCGTGGTCGAATTTGTGCAGCTTAGTTTCTTACCTTTTTACATCCCATCTAACAATCACACCTGTGTAGCGTGTCAGGTGATTGACCAATGACATCGTTATCAAAGTTTGGGCGGAGAGAATGTGGAAAATTTACGTTACACGTGATGTATTCTAGCTCTGCACGCTCTAGAACTTTGGTTATACACTAAGTCATTTGTGGACATGATCTTCCCTGAGGCGACGTAGGTTCTAGCTCATTTCAGATCAAATGCGAAAGAAAACGTCAGGGTAGCCAAATAATCCCACTAGGTTAACCTCAAATGAGATGGAGCACGTAGAAAGAGCCGACGCCACGACGATGTATCAGCAGTAGCATCAGGGTAATTCAAGGCAAAGGCCTCGTCAGATGAAGTCCTCCTGCCCAAATTGGCTCAACGGTTCAATTGTTCAACGGTACAAAGCACAAAGCGGTTCAAGAAATAAATTTACTTAAATCTGGCTTTAGGAAAGGTTCGGTCTTATTTCGAAACAAGCTCAGAAGTGGTGTGTGAGTCCCTGTTGAAGTTAGTTTATAGACAGAACCGATGCCGAGCGTTCTTAAGTGTTCACTTATGCAGGTGCATATTTTGAAGACCTACAGTGCAAAGCAAGTTCGGAAGGGAGCTCTTCCATATCGTCAGCCTGCATTCATCAAAAGACAGGACCAAAATCCACCCAACACTCGGCGTGTTTGGAAAGATCTTTTTGAACGTACTGTTGATGGGCACGTTAAAAGTACGTTCAGCAACAGTAAAAGTACGTTAACGGGCACGTTAACTGGCTCTGATTATCCTCTGTGTTCAAAATGTGCATAGGTGTGTCATATAAGAAAGTGAGGTGGGAAGAGGGAAAACGACAGCACTGTTTCTGTGTTCTGCCACGTGCCTTGTGATTCGTTTGCCTTTCAAACACCTCAAGGTGTAAATGGGTGCAACTGGTTGAAAGCCACTCGACCACTATTGCTGAGGCTGTACGGCGATGAACATATTTAAATATTTAGGTGGCGCTTAGTGACTTATGTGACGTGACCAATGTCGACTTAACGCTTCCCTGCTGGCACCAACCGCGGCTCTCTATGGCGTCACGAGTTTTCCAAAGGGTGAACGCTGTGACGCCCAGATGGTCGCGGCTGGGGGATAGAATAGCCCAGATGTTGCTGGATTAATGACGCTATGGGGCGTATAGTCAGACTCAACTAAGACATTCAGTGAAATTGGGCAATTCGCAAATGTCTCCTCTCCTCGCAGTATTCCCTCAGCAGCCTCGGGAGACGTTCATTACAGGTTAGTACGTACCAAATCCGGTGGTCGCGGCCTAAACAATCATCCACACATTTCACGCTACACGAGGCAATAGGCAAATTTGTATATTGTGCTGGACAGCGCATGGCTACGTACACACAGACGCTCGTTTGTATGTAGCGGTATGACTGCTTGCTGTTATCTCAGTCGGATTAGTTTGATACTATGTGGCTACGACCCTCGGCTGCCAGACCCAGTCACACGCCTGTTGAATATATCCGCCGCCCCAAGGACCACCGGCAGAGCCACGCGACTGTACAGCCATTTCATAGCCTGCGACAGGCCAGCGAAGTGATGCAGCTATTTACACCGATGTCATCCGCGGCTTTGCAGCAGGCCGCGTTTTAAGCTAACGTGAGCACAGTTTTGCAAGGCGCAAAAATATTTCTAATGGATATTGGCCACCGGGAATCGTACTTTATACAGTCGTCGTCCTTATATCTTATATTAATTGGCTTAGACGCCAGCGTCTTGTATTTGGGACGCGATTCGTAAAAACGTGACATTGGTCGCTTGTTGGTCGGTTGTTGGCATTGCTAGGCGTTGGGCATTATTAAGCCCGCGTGCTGATTTGTAGACTGCACCTGGGCATGTCCGATGGAGTTGGTTTCGTGTCTTTATTTGTCTGAGCTGCCAAAACCTGACATAAGCTCTGAAAAACGTTAAAAAACACCGAATCCGTGACCTTAGCACGAGCAGCTGTATGTACTGCATGTGCAGCTGCAGTCGTATATCATACCACATATGAAACATACGTAGATAACCGGAACCCATAAAATGTCATGGCAAGAACAGCAGTCGCTATCAATCATGTACTCATTGTGCATCATCGTAACAAAGGTACAAAGGTATTATAAAATGTAAGTACCTTTAACCGAACAGCTCGGAAATGCTGTCCAGTTTTAACTGCTTTTTACTCTCCAAGAATGTACAATATATATATATATATATATATACATATATACATATATATAAACTGCACCCCTGCACGCATCACACTTGTTTTTGTCGGGGTTGACCACATTGGTCTCAAATGTTTCAAAGGCCCCTGGCTCACTCACCTGATTGATGTCCAGCTGTGCCAGGAAGGAGGTGGGCATGCAGTCAACGTACAGATTGTAGCGTAGCCAGCTCTGCATGAGTGTGCGAAGCTCGTCAGCCGCCTGCACGCGCCTGCAGAAGAGGTTGGGGTCCTCGCCGCAGAACATGACGTAGATGCGCGGCAGGAGGAAGTACTCCTGCACGTCAATGCGGCGCAGCATGTAGAGTCCCCGAGCCGGGTGGTAGCCGATGACGGCAGCAGGAGTCCAGACGTGCGCTCCCGAGGACATGGTGAAGACGATCCGCTTTGCCGAGCGCTTCTTGGACGTGGGGTCAGTGACGACAGAAAGCTTGCGGATCTGTTTTTCTTCGGGAAGGAAGGCCATCACGGGAACGGGGTGCTGCACACCTTTCTCGACAGCCGTCTCCAGCCACTCCTCGGGTAAACGTTCATCAAAAGTTGTGTCATCAAACCAGTGCAACGGCAGGCACCGTGATAACCGTACGTTAACTTCCGGGTCCAGGTCGTGGTTCGAGCGGAACGGGTCCAGTCTCTCATAACTGTCCAGGAGACTGTCGGTGTCACTGTCACTGTCACTATTACTGTCGTCGCTCTCGTCCTCTTCTTCCTCTTCTGTGTCTTCCGTCTTTGCCTCTTCATCTTTTTTTGCTCCTTCCTCCGGCACTAGTGGGTATTTGGGGCGACCCTTGCCCAGCTCTTCAACGGCCAACGACTTCCTAAGTGGGTCATTTTTCGAGCACTTGTACACCTCGATCGCGACATCCTTACTGACAGAGAAACGCTTCGGGAGTTTGGTTTTTGGCAAAATAGAGGATCTTTGCGACTGCCTCCTCTTTTTCAGAACGGACTTCCTCCTGTCGCCGGCTTCGTCGCTGCCATCTTGGTCGCCAGCCTCTACCCCAGCCTCGGGCTCATCAATCGGCACCGCATCGGGGGTAGCGGAAGTGTCGGTTGGAGAAGGAACCTTGAGTGCGTCATCGGCTTCTCCCGCCTGGTTGTCCTTTGCTTTCTCGCCTTCCTTAGAAGGCGGGGCCTCACTGTCCGGAGTCACATCTGCCACTTGTCCTTGATCGTGGTCCTCACCATGCTTGCTCTTAGCTGATCCTCCGGAGCCAGATTGCTTACTTTTAGCGGATCCTGAAGAACCAGAATGCCTGCTGGTAGCTGACCCTTTGTCTTTATTCGAACCCTTTTCGCTTGAATGTTTGCTCCTGGTAGATCCTTCCCTACTAGAATGTTTGCTCTTGGCTGTTCCTTCTTTGCTTGAGTGTTTGCTCTGTGCAGAACCTTCACCACCGGAATGCTTACTCTTAGCAGATCCTTCACTGCTTGAGTGTTTGCTCTTGGCAGATCCTTCTTTACTTGAACGCTTACTCCCCGCCGACCCCTCTTGTCTTGAGTGTTTGTCCTTGGTCGAACCCTCCCCACTCGAGTGTTTGCTCTTAGTTGAACCCTCCCCACTAGAGTGCTTGCTCTTGGCCGAACCCTCCCCACTCGAATGCTGGCTCTTGGCCGAGCCCTCCCCACTAGAGTGTTTGCTCTTGGCCGAACCCTCCCCACTCGAGTGCTTGCTCTTGGCCGAGCCCGACTCCTTGCTGTGGCTGTCCGCTGTGCCTGCTCTCTCCGATCCTGCCGACCCGCCACGGTGGCCGGCACTGCCACCCTTCGATCTCTTGCCTCCGCCTGCACCGGCGGCGACCGACTTGCGCGTCGCTCGTCGGCCGCCGTGGTGTGGCACGAACATGGACTGCCGCTTGACATGACCGACTGTCTCGTCGCTGTCGTAATCGAGCAGACTCTCGCCGCTGTAGTACTCCTCCTCCTCCACGTAGGAGACGTCCGAGCCCTCAGACTCGTCGCTTGAGTGCGGCCGATCGGCCAGCAGACCCGCCATCACCTGTCGGCCGCGGCCTGCTCAGCGAGCGTACGGCAGTGTTGTCGTGGCCATCATACGTGTCACCATCGCCCGCCGCATCACAACACCCTCATGAGTAGGAAAAGGAGAGAATTGTAGCATCAATGTTGCATACATGAAATGACGCCAGAGCCCATTAAGTGTCGTGTTATCCACATGAAAGCTCTCGCCTCAACCGCCAGCCCTTAACGGCGTTTGAAACTATATTTAGACCCCACACTGTAGGCAGTCTGCAGGGTGGCGCCTCCAGTGGCCAAAGTGTGGGGGTTCCGGCCGCGTTGTGAACCTTCCGTACTCCGGAGCACCCCAGACCGTACCCGAGTCTTAAGCGGTGCCGACCCCCGTGCCGCAGTCCAC